TTTCCCGCTGTATGTATGTGTATGTATGTATGTATATATATATATATATATATATATATATAGGGAACTTCTACCTGGGTTAGCCAAATTTCAGAACTAAAAAATGGCTTCCTTTTAATTCATGATTGTAAATTTTAATTGAACTGGACACATCGATCACACGGGACTTTCAGTTGTAGCAAATTAGTATCTGGTTGTTTATCTTTTTGTCTATCTGTCTGTCTGTACATTCAGACAGACTGTACATTCAGCTTATTAACCTTCAGGCTGGATGGCTTTTTAAACTTTTTTTCAAAACTTGCAAGCAAAGCTTTCTCACACCAACAGTCTTGATTACCTTTGATTTTCTAGTAAAAATAAATAGTTATGGGTTTTGATTCATTTCAATTCTACTTCCTTAAATTCAAATTCCAAGCTCCATCTTTAATTCAAATTCACAAATTAAATAAGAATTTAAAAGGCATTCTCAATTCAGTTTTGAATGATGCACAAAACTCACTTCTACAGAATCTATATTCCATTTGTTTCAATTCTTAAACTGAAATCACCTTGTAAATACATCATGTGCATTTCCTAACAATAAAAGCTGATGTTATGGTTTCAATGTTTACACTGTTACTCACCTGTAAATTAGTGTCTCATCAGCAGTACAGTTATACTGTATTTGATACATCCACACCAGGCTGGCTCCCATCAGTTGACCCTTATCCCACTGCACTTGTGCTGAGGTAGAGGTCACTCCTTGTACTCCCACCATCTGCTCCTCAACCCCTTCGCTAACCACATCCTCACTCTCTGCCTGACCCTCCTCCCGTCCCTCCTGAGGGTCACTGTTACTGTCCAGACCAGGGCTTTGCCCACTGGAAGTCTTCTCTCTGGTGATGTCCGATGATCCTGGGTCACGAGCTAACAATACCGTTCCATTTCCACGATGAGGGAGGGGAATAACCTTCAGGTCAACAAGTGAGGTGGCTTCACCTGCAGCATTGATAGCAATGCAAGTGTATGTACCATCATCACGAGCAATAGTCACATGTAGCTCAAGAGTGCCATTTCGGAAAGATGTGGTACGACTGGAATTGCCAATGATGCGGTCATCTGGTGAGACCCAGTGCACCACTGGCTCTGGATCACCAATAGCACGACATTTGAGAGTTGCCCTTTGACCCTCCAAAACCCAGAGTTTGTGTGTATGTCGGGTAATAAGCGGAGGTTCACATGCAAATTCCTCCTCAGGGATAGACCAGAAATAACGTCCCGCTAAATGAAGGGGTGTAGAACAAGTTTCCATATCATCACTGCGGATCAGCCTCCTCAACCAAAGCAGTTCACAGTTGCAGTGTAACGGGTTACCCCCAAAATTTAAGTTGATTATGGCATTGTAGGGTGTCGGGCTGATGACCCCCGTCTGGGAGCGAGCGAACAATGGATCGGGTGGTAAAGTCTGTAGGCGATTGGAGGTCATGTCCAATCGGGCTAGTTTGTAGAGCTCACTAAAAGATCCCTCAGCAATCTGGTCAATGAGATTGTGATCTAGGTTCAAAGTGTGCAGACTAGCCATACTCTGAATGGCATCCCAGGGAGCCTTGCGCAGATTGTTATAGGATAAGTCCAAATCCTCTAGAGTGAGTAAAAAGTCATCAAAGGCCTCAGAGGAGATATTGATGAGTTGGTTGTTGTTGAGAATGAGATGCTGCAGGTTTAGCATGCCTACTAAATCTCGTGGGCCCAGCTCTGAGAGTCGGTTGCCATCTAAGTGCAATGAACGAAGACTTTCCAGATCTGCAAATGCCAGTGGCCGGATGTGACTGATGGTATTCCGGGATAATGTCAAATCCACCAGTCCCGTCATGTTGGCAAAGTCACCTCCTCCCACTTCTCGAATGAAGTTATCTGCCAGGCGAAGCTCAACAGTTCGGCGGTCAATGTTTGGCGGGACAAAAAGAAGACCTTTGTCAGCACAAAGTGTGCTTAGAGATTCTGAGAGATTCCTGCAGATGCAATGGAAGGGGCACGCCGACACTACACCCCACGTCTCACCAGCTACAGCTCCTGGAATCTGACTGAAAAGAGCGGGCAGCAAGCATGCACAAGTGACCAGTGCCAGCCAGTGCAGTAATTGCAGTGGTAGTGTTGGTGAGCATGTGTCTGGGGGTGAGTATCTGCTGGTGAACTTTGGCCAGAGCGGTGGAGAGGGTTGATGAAATGCTTCAGAGGGTTTGAGGGTATTTTGTTTCAGATGAATGGATGGATGAGAGGGCAATGAGGGGGAGTGTGTGTTCCTGTGAGGATGGCATAAAATGTGGGACAGATGTGGTTTTCTGAATGGCTGAAGGGGTGGGGAGTCTTGCATGGTAGATAGGGGAGTGATCCACAGACCTAGAAAAAGCAGAAAGAGAAAGACATCAGTCATCATGTTTCAAGTGTCAACTTTGTAGTACTGATGTGTGTGGTTTCTTTAACTCTGAATGAGCTCATGCAGTTGCTCTCCACAGGAGTTTCTACGCTTGGGCACCCTGTGCATAACTGCATGTAAAATTACAGCAAAACCAATGCCAGTAACCAATAACCACACTCTCAAACACTGTTGGTGGAAACTGCACCATCTACGAACCTCTAAAAAGCATGCAAAGGCCATATAACAATTATTTTACTGCTTTTTGGAAGTGGAAGCTGGTAAATTTACAGTCCCACCTTTCTGTGTGGCAGTTTTCTTTGAAAGAAGAGCTGTTTGCTTCACTTCAAGAGAAGTAAGAGCCACAAAAGCTCTAGTCATTTCACTGAAACTCAGCACTGATGGACAAACTCTGTTTAAGAAGTTTATTTTTAATGATGTGCAAGCTACACGGTAAAGATAAGGTCAAATATAGTATAACAATCTGTACAAATAAATTCAGAATGCAAACATTGTCAGTTTGTGCAGTGCACTTGCTTGAACAGATGAACTGGTGTGTAAACACGCAGGTAGAGAGAAGGACAAAAAGAACGAAAGAATCATCACATCACATAAAAATGCTAATTACAGGTTTGAGACTGAAAAATCTATAATATCTGTAATTTGATCTCTTGCGCCAATTTGTCATGTTTGTCATGGTAAAATATGGGTTTCAACCCAGAGATGAAGCCAAAGAGTTATTATGTTCTTTGAGAGTGTACATCACTTTTGTCCTACATTAGCGCATTCAGCAAATGCTCTTTAACTGTCACTTAACACTAAGTGCATGTAATAATGCAGGTACAAGCCAAGGAAAACAGCTATCAGAATCCGCAAGAAATCTTCCATCTCTGCATGTATACTGAGAATTTGGACCACAGCTCAGATGAGATGACTTACAAATCAAACATTCTACTAAATAGCCTACTAAAATAGCCTACTAAAAATAGTGATACTACTAACTCAAATACATTTTTCATTTGTGTGACAGTTAAAACAATGTAGCTTTTCCAACAATGTACTTTTGCACTGTATTGCAGATAAATGCTACATACAATAGCTGGTTTTAACCTCCTGGGGCCGGCGGGTGCACTTTTATATTTTCCAGATGACAGAGAAAAGAACTTAAAATGCTCTGTCACTTTTGATTGGACACATAAAAGTAATACATTACTTGAATCTGTAAAGGGTCTACTTTTATTTGTGTATGCTCACCCTATCAACAAAACTTTGTGCTTTTGTAAAATAAAGAAAACAAACAGGGTGCTCTCTCAGTCTTCACTGTCTCCGCGAACTGCTTTTAGAAACACGTCACTAAAATGAACCGAAACTCAGCAAATACTTTACATACAGACATGAGAAATATATCTATAGAAAGGCTTGACATGTCAACGTTGTATTTTTTAAGTTTTACATCCTTAAACATCCTAAACTGTCCCTTCTGTCTACAGTATATCTATATGCTGTTTAAAACAGATTTATTGTAGTGAGATGGTTTGTTCGAAACAGTCTGATTCATTCTAGTGAATCATTTTAAATAGTTCTCGCTCTCATACAGGGGTTGGACAAAATTATGTGGACACCCATTGTAATAATATTTATCTTTTCATTGCCTAGGTTCCCTAATTTGTATATCAGTGTAGTATAAGTTGTGTTTAGAAGTGTTTAATACAAATGGTCTGTGAAGTGACTTTTCAGACTTCCAAAAAGAACAAATCATGGAAGCCCATTTAGCAGGAGTGTTTTAATCTTAAAGGCACAATATGTAATTTTCACCGCTAGAGGGAGCTAATGATTTATTAACGTAGTAGAATGAAGCAGGGTGAGGCTGAAAGCCGTCGAAGCGAAACGAGGCTGCTGAACAAGCGTGACACACGGTTCGAAAGCAGCGGAGCTTTTATTGTGCCACAGTCGACCGCTTCCACTCCTTCCGGTCGTGTGTATGTGGGAAAAAAAGCAGCGCTGTTTTATCATACTAGATCCATTTGAAAGTTCTGTTATAATGCTACTCTGTGCAGTCGTCACCGGTCTATTAAAACGCACAACATATTAAAGCGTCTAAACAAAACGGAAATCGAGGGGTTATGATATCATTGGCAGGCGACACAATGACACTATGGACACGGTCCGTGTCACTAGTTAAAATTGTTTATTTCTCTGGATTTAAACATTCTTTGAAACAGTTGGGATAATGTAAGTACACAAGTCAGCAAACTATATAACACTGTTCTAGTGGTTTTTGGATATTTTAATAAAACAATCTTACATATTGTGCCTTTAACAGCCCAGTTGTTTGGTGTTTGAAGAACAACAGTCTTTATGATTATGGAGTAGTAAACAAAATATGGCATGACTGCAAAGAAGAAAAGTGTTCGAAACCTGAAAGTGAATGATAGGGACTGTCAAACACGAGAAGGATTGTGTCCAAACAACACAGAACTACTGCAGCAAAGTGAAAGCAAGCCTGCAATATTCATCTTACAGAACCTGTTTCCACAAAAACAACCACAGAAAAGTTAACAAAGCCAACATCAGCAAGAGCTGTAATTGCTAAGACTTTAATTGCAGACACCAGTGCTAAAATGCGAAAAATATATAGTCATGATCGTTAAAATTTGGACAGTTGGAGCTCTATTGCCAGCTCAATCGCCTGACTTAAATATTATCAAAACCACTGTGGGCAGCTTTGAGGAGAAGGGTCAGAAGCCAATTTCTTCCTCCAACATTTCTAAGCAACTGGTAGGTGTTCTGATCGATGACATTCCACTGGAGACTGTTCACAATTTGTATGAATCTTTTCTAAGAAGGTTGGAGGCTGTATTAAAGGCAAATGGTGGTGAAACACCTTAGTAAAGAAATGTTGCCTATCTCCCAGGTCTTCACGTTATTTTGTGCAACCCCTGTATGTAGCGTTGGGAAGTCTGATTCATTCTAACAAATCAGTTTGCCCTGCTTGGTCTTCTCTCCCTTATACAGTATTGGAAAGTCAGATTTATTATTTATTTATTTATTTATTTTGGACGAATATTTTGTTAAATGTTGTTGTTCATTACTTATGTCATATAATCATTTGTACTCTTAATTTTTTTTATTTGTATATTTAGAGTAAATGTTTTGAAAGGTTATATACTTTTCAAAGGAATTGCCCTTAGCTTATTTTTAGTAATTTTTAGTAGCTAATTTTTTTTTCCAACAATAACTTGACTTTAGTGTAATTAATTAGCTTAGCAAGCCGCATCTTCAAAGTAACATCCCCAGCACTGCTCACGTCAGACTCACATCTGTAACAGTGATCTTTATATAACCATTCCCAACTGTTTGTGTCCATGCAGTACTTCACATACCCGTGAATACACCTCATTAGTAGAGTTTGTGCTTGCTCACCCCTCTTCGATATTATTAACAGTACAGCAGTAATTATGCAAATTTCAAACCGACAAGATAATCATTTTTGCAAAGTCATTACACTGAAAAAATGCAGATAAATATAACCAGGGAACAATCAGACTTTACTCAATTAAGCATGTTTTTCAGCACATTACTCATTAAATAGTGGCAATTAATATAAATTATATAATTGTAATTATATAAAAAAAAATTAGGTGAGTCCTCAGAGAATTTACTCTTGAAAGTGCAGAAATGGGAGGGATCTTGAGCATTTATAATGTTCACAGAAAGTGCCTGATTAAACCTCATGATTGAATTGATTACTGTATTGACTGGACAACCTATCCCGAAAGATTCTTACAGAGACCATTAAGATTCTTCTTACAGCATTATGGGTGTAAGCAATAACTAACTATGGTATTTGACAGCAAGTATGGTTGCATTCTCACCTTCATGTCATTTTAGACCTGTACAACTTACTTTATTTTGTGGAACATAATAAAAGAATAGTGTTTTTTGTACATACAATGAAGGTCAGTGGGGTTCAATGTTCTTTGGATTCCATTGTTCTTCAAAATGTCTTAATTTGTGTTCTCTAGAATAAAGAAAGTCATACAGGTGTGGAACAACAGTTTCATTTTGGGGAAAACTATCCCTTTAAGTGATGAAATTCAATGAAGACATATGGGGAATGTCAATGCTCGGTGATTAATAACTAGAGATATGCACTATCGTAAGAAATACATTTGTTATGTGTTGAAGGAAGAAAGAAAGTGCAACTGAGTGCAATTTCTAACGTGACTTTTAATGTCTTGTAACTCTGCATTCCCAGAAGTCTGTATGAGAAACTCTATATTGCTATGCCAAAGTATCGACTTCATCGGTCTCTTTCTCTTCTCCTATGTGGTCTTCCTCCGACCTCCTGTGACCTTCCTTCTCCTCTGCTCTCCTCTCCTCTCCCTCCCTACCTATTTCTTTTCCACGCCCCTCTTTTTCGGTTTTCTTCTATTACCCAGGGTTCTGCTTATCACCTGTGTCCACTCTTCCCATCTGCCCTTGAGGTAACTTGAGAAGTGATGCAACATTAGTTAAGTATCCCTCCCCTCTCTCTCCATCTCCCATTCTCACCATCTTTAGCCACCTGAGAACAGACCAGCTGAAATAGATCTTGTCTCTTTCGTCCATCGATCCGGCCGCCCAGGATAGATAGCAGCCCTTCCTCAATATTATCAGGCCTCTTCCTCCTACCATCCTCTCTCCCTCTTTACTCATCCTCCGCCCTCTGTGTCCTTTACTCATATTCGTTTTTAAGTTCAGGACATGCCGGTGCTTGTCTTGGTCTAATTTTATCTTCTAGAGCTATTGGGTGTGCGTACATGTGTGTGTTGGTAGGGCGTAGATTAGATTAGAATAGACTATAAATTCTGGTAATCCTTTTGTAATCCGTAATGTTATTCATGATTCAGACTGAATGAAAAACTACTGCGAGTGCCTGGCTTTAGAACGTAATAACTCCTGTCCATTATGTGTGTGTGTGTGTGTGTGTGCGTGCGCGTGC